ATCGCTCTAACTTGGTCGGGCCTAGAAAGGCGTGCAGATACGACGCTGCTAGAAACACAAAAGTGGCCGCGGAACACGTGTTGCAGTTTCTGCTGCTGCCCTGACTCGAACGCAGTGAGTCCACGAAGAGACTTAGCAAATAGCGCGCGAAGTAGGAGAAAAGTTGCGGGGGAGTGGCTGCAGTTACATTGTGGGAAAAGTGGAAGGCGATCAGCTCTGTCTAGGGCCTTGCTATAACCCATACACAACCTACAATCCTTACATTGGTCAGTGGACTCGACCAAACCCATCGCGCATTCTGTCGAGCGTAGCCAGGTATAAGAACTGGCGGTGTGGATAAACTAAAATGGTGAATTAAAGTTACGCACACATCAATTTTTTTTTGTTTTGCCCTGTGTAAAGCAGATTTCGTCATGGATCAATATGACTGGACATTTATAGTTCTCCGACAGCTTCTAGTGGATTTTTCGAACGTCGAAATTTATTGCGGGGGAGCAATGTTTACGGGCTGACACTAAGTCTCAGACGGACGTACGGACCAATAAGCATGGCGTCCATATAATGTTCTTTTCTACTCTTTATGAAGATCATCTAACGGTTAAAATGAATGTGGATCATTTCCTCGTAACAACAAAATCCAGAGGCAACAAGTTATGCTTAATGGAGGTGTGTTAAGAGCCAGTTTATTTACTGAAAGTACATTAAATACTGTGTATATACCAATTTGTAACCTAAGTGCCAAGTGGACTCAATCTCACCCCACACCCCATGATATATATATATATATGTCTGTGTGTGTTAAAAAGGGTCCTGTATCTTCGTTTTCTGGTCTCGCCAAGAGCAGCAGTGTTCCAGGAGGAAATGTATGTTTCATTCACTCTACTTAAGGCTCTTGTGAGCACGGTAATGAACATCCGGGTAAAAAGTAAGTAAAGTAAAGCTATCCCTGTACCAGGCCGTGAAGGCCCATAGGGTTGTGAGGCGTTGAAGGTCCCACATTATCTAGACAATCGGCTCAAAGATGGTAGTAAGGTTGTCAGCCTTACTTGCCGGCCGCGCTTTACTCCCCATGAAAATTATTTAATTAATTTCTGGCACTCATTTCTGTTAGTCTGAGTGAACCCCAGGGTCATAGTGCGGCCGGAAGGATTAGGTCAATTGAAAAAATCCAATGACCTCATCGGTATTTGAACCCGCGACTTGTAGCATAGTGCCTCAACCACTACGCTACCGCGTGCCCCCATACATACTGCATTGCCGACGCTCACATGGAAATGCAGAACGCTTTCACCGAGAGGAAACTGGGGGAGATTGGCCACCCACTTCTGTGTAGTGTAGAGGTTAACAGGACGTGGGTCTGTACCTACTCTCTTCCCCTGTTCTTCTAAGCTTAGTACTTAATTAATTCAGCACGAGATAATAATAATTTTACTTTTTACACTTTTACTTACATTAAACTGCGCTTCCTTGTCAGAAGTTCACACGACTGCACCAATGTTTACAGACCAGGCCTGTAGCGTAGGACAGTAGGATGGCTGACGGATGATAAATTGGAAAGAACCTGAAAGGAAGCGATCGTGGCCTATTTCGGATATTCTCTCGGAATTCTTATGGAGGCACTGGTGAAAACCATGGAAAATAGTTATGATAGCCAGTATCCCGACTGAGATTCGAACCGAATCATCAAGGCAGCAAGACGTGTACATATTGCGTCCACATTGACACTCGCTGACGAAGGCCGTCACGTCATCCTTAGAATGTTGTTAGTGTCTGTTTTCAACGCACTTCCCTTATTCATACACCGGTGGGAAATTCAAACAAACAAAGAAATTTTCTTCCGTAAGGTTGCCTACATTAGGTACGCCGTTCATTGTCAGAACTGAGGTTCTCACAGTGATGAGAATGAAGATTTCTATATCGTGGAACATAACACCTCTCAGTCCGTTTGAAAGTCAATCGACGTTTCGGGAGAACATACCTTCTCCATGTTCAAGGACGATGGATAAGTCAAGCAAGAAATAATCGTGAAGCAGGTAGCAAGATTTGCTTGTTCCTCCTAAACGTAAGTTGATTTTCACATGACTAAACGACTTTATTATCCCAAAAGCTACTCTGGTTCGTAGAGCATATGGACCTTATCTAGTTGAATGGAAATCGGTGTTTCGTGTTAGAGACTTGTCACATTAGGACACACAAACACACACACACAGACACACGCTCCACTAGCAACAATGTGTGTACGTGTGGACGCGTTGCTACAGTTTTCTGTTATTTGTACTGACTTCAGCACACGGGCTCCGGTATATCGACGCCATTTTGACGTGAAACAAATGAAGATGGACGAGCGCGCTGTATGAGGTATGCAATAGCACAAAAGAGGGAGTAATTAATCTTTCATTTGCAGGTGATTATTCAGTATCATGGCAAATAAATCATCAACTGGCAACAGCTTGCTATCAGGCCCGTTTTTAGCCTGGTTTCCTGTGCCCATGTGCCTCTCGCCACAATTTTCTGATGATAACTAACGAAAAATATGGTTGCCCATTTTGAATTTAGTGGGAAGGTGATTCATGATCGTGCCTACAAATAAACCATTTCAAAATGGCGGTGATGCTAAACGTTGAGGTTACATTCGACCTAGTCAAAACGGAATCCATGGACCTATATACACAGATTCGTGAAATGAGGCGTAGTACTTCATAATAGGCCAAAGGAATAGTTTCACCATAAGCCTCTAGATGAAATCTGCATTTACCGACTGTGCCAGTAGCTGGGCTGCGTGGCTTCGAATGGTGGGATACTGTTTCTAAATTCCGAATAGATATTAATCATCGGAATTCGGGAGTGAGAAATCGGAATTCTCTGGAATTATCGGGAATTACAGAAATTTTAATTTATTCCGTATTTTTCATAATATTTTTTGCGTGTATCTAAATAATAATGCGTGACCATATTGATGAGCATAAAATCATTTTTTTTGATAAACTTATGCTACAATTTCAAAGGTTTCCTGTAAAAATAATGAGATAAAAATATGGTTTATTACCATTATTATGAACCAATATATTTTGACAGGATTATACATTTCAGTAATAAGTAAAATTGATCTCTATCAGGTATAAATTTTGATAATAGAAAACATCAGAAGAATAAGAGAACATTAACAAAAGTAAATGTCAAATAAGGATCATTTAAAAATTGCAAGATAGTACAACAAATATTTAATATTGAAAAGTCATCATCCTTAAAATAAAATTTTGAAACACACAAAACATTAAGTACCCTATCCGACTGTCTTTATCTTTGTTTTGTGACAAATATTCCAGGCGCAGATTTTTTCACTTCGCGTTGATGTCAGTCGAATTATTATAGAGTGTCCTAGTATGCAAGACAATACTGAAGCCTATTTGGACTTACGGCGCACCATTATGGGGAACTGCAATTACATCCAACATAGAAATGTTGCAGAGATTCCAAAACAAAGCACTTCGAGCTATAGTCAACGCACCGTGGTACGTCCCTAACAGACTACTACACGCCGATTTGGCATACCCACAGTACGGCNGACTTACGGCGCACCATTATGGGGAACTGCAAATACATCCAACATAAAAATGTTGCAGAGATTCCAAAATAAATTACTTCGAGCTATAGTCAACGCACCGTGGTACGTCCCTAACAGATTACTACATGACGATCTAGGCATATCCACAGTACGGCAAGAAACCACAAACATCAGTCGTAAATACAAATACAAGATAACAGCACACCCAAATGAACTGGCAGCCATATTATTAAACAATGCAGACGAGCCCAGAAGACTGAAAAGGCATAAGCCAACCGACCTAACGACGCTCTTCACATAAACGCAGTACATACATTACAAAGTCATACTCGAAATAGATCCCTAGAGAATGCTCACTGGAGCATTACTCTCCCCGGCATGTTCTCTCTTAGTAATTAAGCATTAGATTAAGTATTACATAAGATGTACTTATAGTTCTTAATGGACTGATTTTACAAATAAACGGAGATATTTTCTTTTTTCCTCGGCACTACAGCCCCAGTGGGCCTAGGCCTACCTCCATGAACTTCTCCGTTCACTTCGGTTTTTCTAGATCTTACACATTCGGTAGGACCCCTTGGGCGGGTGATCAGCTCGTCGCAAGGCCTCTACCTGTACACAAACACAGAAAAACGCACACACACAAACTAAACATCCATGTCCTGAGTGGGATTCGAACCCACGATCCCAGTTTCCAAGCAAGCAAAGACAGTACATGCCTTAGACCGCTCGGCTACCGTGACCGGCAAACGGAGATATATATAAAAAAAATTATAGTATGTGTCCAAAGGCATCTTCAAGTTGGGGGTTACGGTACATGTTGCTTCATATGAGGTCATTTCATTTTTTAACGATGAAAATATTTTGTCTGCTTGCCATTTTTTCTATTCCCTTTTATTTCGTATTAATGATTTTGCTAATCGAGCTATTTCACTTTTGTTTACCAAAGTAAAAAAGTCGTCCTTTTCCACTCCATACAAACACTTGACATTACTTAAATGTTTTATGGGTGTTACTAGATCTGTAATCCTGCTTTCAAGCAATTTTCAGAACACAGCAACTCGCGGAATTGTAGAGGGACAGCTGTCCCTATATTTAAGCACTACGACATGGTGGCTTATGTGAAAGTGTGGCTGAAGGTGGAGGCTAATGGTCAGCTTCACGCTCTTTCGGCTTTACCTCCGGGGAAAGAGCCCAGTTCTCACTGGATAGGAGGCTGGGGGAACCCAGAACAGGGACCAATGACGAAGTCTTCTGAACACGGCAATGAATATTCCGCACTTTCTCGAGTAGCTGAAATTAGCTTCTCAAGGACGATTCTAGATGGAGCTGCTTTATCACTCAGTGGGTCAGTAAGGCAATGAGTCAGTGACCCACAGCCAGCGGCGGTCCAATAGCTCAGACTTTCACAGATTGCTCAGTGCGCGATGCAGCTCTACGCTGCTCGGTGCTTCTACGCGGCCAGCGTCGTCTTCTTGCTCTCCATGGACGTCCTGTACGCACTCAAATTGCTAGAGGTTTTAAGCGCCAGAACGGACCTCCTGTGGGCCCACTACAGGGGGCTAGGTCTCCAGTTCTTCACAGTTTGGAGCCAGGTCAGATTAATTTGTACGAATTTGCCTTCCTCTGCGGCCTTTCTTTTTGGTACTTGATGCTTTGCAGTGTGGTAGATAGATACCAATATTTCAGAGAAATCTTCCGCCTCCAAGGGCCTACTTTTTTCTGTTCTGAAGATGGAGCTATCATGATCTTCCAGTGATGTAGGGGTCTGCACCCTCTGACATCCCTTAAGACAGTAATTAGCGTGTTAATGGCTGCTGCCAATTATTCACTCGGTACTTTCCCACCTTGCGGTGATCTCTTCTTAGATATATAATTATTGTAATTAGTAACTTTGAGTAGTAAACTGATTATGAATAGACATAGCAGGCTGACGTAGCAGTAACACTCTAGATTTTTTTTTTTCAGGAGGTACTAAGTTCGAATGTGAGCATTCTGACGATTGGCAGGGGAAACCGAAGTACTCGGAGAAAACTTGCCCCAGCGCCACTTTGCCCACCACAAATCCCACTTTATCGAACCCGGACCGCCGCGGTGGGTAGTCAGCGACTAATCGCTTGAGCTATGGCGAGGCCCATGAATAACTTAAGCCAAGTGTTTGGGCAAAATACAGAGGTATATGGTGAATAGGTATTATACGTATATAGTTACCACTCAGATGTTCTCTTATTTTTAGGTCGCCCAGCAAGGTTATTTCTTTGTGGCGTTTGCGTATGACGTCATTGAACCAAGTAACAACGTGTTTACGAAACGGCTGAAAAAACTACTCCGCATTTTCAAAGCTGTATTCTTCACTTCCGTCGTCGTGCCCACAGCAGTTGTAAGTAGTCGAGATTTACTTCTGAATGCACAGAGCAGAGTCCTTGATGAGGAGCTGTTGTAGTGAGACAGCTGCTCACGAATTTTCATGCTTCTCTAGAATGCTAGCGTTCCTTGCCTCATTCAAAACAGCTTGCCACTAATCCCTGTACTGAGTCAGCACAATTAAATTAATATTTTAAAACTTTTTTTTTTCATTGGCGCTACATCCCTCATTTGGGCCTAGGCCTACCTCCATGAAACTCTCCGTTCACTTCGGTTTTACTAGATCTTAGACATACGGCAGGACTCCTTTGGCGGGTGATCAGCTCGTCGCAAGGCCTCTACCTGTAGACAAACACCGAAAAACGCACACAAACTAAACATCCATGCCCTGGGTGGGATTCGAACCCACGATCCCGGTTTCTAAGGGAGCGAAGACAGTACATGCCTTAGACCGCTCGGCTACCGTGACCGGCTCTTTTAAACTTTATCTGTCTAAAATCAACTTAAATATTACACTCCCCTTAAGTGCGGATCTCCTAATTTCTCTCTCTCTCCCTCTCTCGTTTTCTTTTTCAGCAAATATTCTGATTGCAAACAACTGAATGGTACATGTCCCGGATTTGGTTTGTAGGCCATGACACAAACTGTCAACTCTTTTCAATCCCCTTATTATTGTTACAAGTTTCCACTTCATGCGGACCGCCTAGAAATAAAGCCTGTCCATCTCTCTCTCTCATTCCAAAGCCTTTGCCCCTCAGTGTACTCTCCTATGTTCCTGATTCCTTGTGCGAGACATCTGTTCTAACCTGTTCCTTCCATCTTTGTCTTGGTCTTCCTTTTGGACACTTTCCTTCCGAGCATCCTTAAATAAAATTAAATATTAAAATTTTCTTTTTCTAAAATACGAATTGGCCTATGCAGTTGCTTAATATTATGCGAAATACAATAAGATCATATTCTTTATATTTTTTAGTCATTTACTAATCAGTTCACAAAACTCCAGTTAGTGCTGAGGCCAAGAAAATGTGGATCTATACATCCACTCTCCCATACGCCTTCATAGCGTAGTGATTAATTATTTAAGCACAGGGACAACTTTACCTTACTAATCTGTTTGTTTGTTTGTTTAAGCAGTTATTCATCTATCTCAGGATAGGGACCAGTGACAGGCTCTTGTTGACAAGGTAAAAACTATCGAATTCCATGAAAGCCCGAGAAATTCTTTATAACTTAAGCGACTATCAGCTCATCAAGAAAGACTCTGCTCCACTGAGCGAGTTGCTAGACTGAATTAATCTGGCTCAGGATATAGACAATGCGGTAAGAACTGAAGATACTCATCAGGGGTGTGAGGCCACTGGATGGTATGGTAGATACACTACATCATTTCAAAGGAATGTGTTGCTACCATCTTCAGGGTAGGAGAACTGAAGCTGAAAGCACCAGGTTCCTGTGACACTTCGTACGTATCTGTAAAATTACACGGCGTCACAAACCAGAAGTCTGTATACAATTTGCTATGAGATCCTCAAATCTCACAAAGTAATGACATTTCATATAAGTCTTGAACCAGCTGAGATACTATCAATTTCTCTGCTGCAGCTGGTGAGCGTCAACTTTTGGGCCCTCAACTCGCTGTTCGACCCTGCCCTCATTGATGATACACACGCGTACGAGGACTTCGTGCCTAGCTGGATGAACCACAGTCTGCATTCCTACGTGTTGGTCTTCGCGTTGGCAGAACTACTGCTCTCCTGCAGGACATATCCTGGCTGGACCGCGCTGGGGAGACTGAGGTCAACTGTCGTCGTGTTGGCCTACGCGTCATGGTGGGTCGCAAATTCTGGTGCTTTCGCTCACTTTTGTTCAATTTTCTGCCACCACAACCGCTGGCTCGGAATATTGACCGTTCCCAGTTACGTTTGAGACACGCCTAAGAACGCATGTAGCTCTTAGGGTAAAGTTCCCCTTAATGTTGGCTGATTTTAAATAAAACTGGAACACATCGACGAAACTTTCTCATATCAGATTTAATGGAAAAGCGTTTAACGATCATCGAGTTGTTTCGTGCATAAAGACAAACGTGACGATTTCTTTTTGCAGCTTTCCCCATGGGAACTGGCCAGAAATTAAACATAAAAGTAACAATCAAAATCCGACAGCCGTGTTTTCTTCATCCAAACTAATGTCGTTTTCTAAACGGTTGATTCTCCTGCTCTTTGCATGCAGCCATTCTGACTGAGGTTGTGGAGGGTGGGAAGTATTTTCATGTATAATCTTAGTCCCTGCAGATACATACCGGAACAGTACGTTACAACAGGCCACGGCCACTTATTTGCAATTAATATCCATCCTTGCATTTGATACTGCACGATTGGTTTCATCATCATTTGGCAAAGGGGCCATTTTTTGGAGCCATATACTTCATTAGAAAATGTTGCCATATTTGTCTATTCCTGGTTAGGTTTTTCTACTTTCTTTCCCACAGAGCTATAACATCGTTGTTCTCTTCTTTCTCCACTGCCGTGTAGTTTGGTATTGAGAATTTTTTTCACAGATCGTTGTTGGTTCATTCGAACGACATAAGCAGCCCATTTCAGGCTACCCGTTTTTATAAAGGTTTTGATTAAAGACACGTTCTCACACAAGGCGTAAAAGAGATAAAGCTATACCTGTACATGCCGTGGAGGCCCATAGGGTTGTGAGACGTCGAGGCTTCCACATTTTCTAAACAATCGGCACACAGATGGCGGTGAGATCAGCCTTACGCGCCGGTCGCCCTTTAACCCCAGGAAGATACTCATTTCTGTTAGAGGCTGAGTCGACCCCAGGGTCATAGTGCGGGAGGAAGGGTTAGGTCAATTGAAAGAAATCTAATGACCTAATCGGGAATCGAACCCGCGCCATTCCAGCTTGTAGCGTAGTGCTTCAACAAAATACGCTACAGCGTACCTCACCAATTTAAGTACATATTGTTAAACAATGATTAATCGCAACTTTTCTAAAAGTAAATTATTTTATTTATTAAATGTCATAAAATACTACATGGGCTATATAACACTGCGGACAACCTGGTGGAGCGCCATGGACCAGGGTTTGAGAAGGAAGCGGTCATGACCTTTTCACGGTATTTTCCCGACACTTTCGTGGAGGACCTGAGGAATACCACGAGAGGACATAGCACTTCCAGCATGCAAACACAGAGTGTTGCTCCTCGGTGTGCTGCAAATGTATAATGGCCATACCACCACAGCAGTTTGCAGAGCCTGCGCTGTCTTACTGTACGAATACACCTCACTGTCGAGATTCACTCACCGCAGGGTAAAGAACCATCGTCACTATTAGGGACCTGTTTTTGTTATTCTCTCCTTTATCTGCTTTCTGATCTGAGCCGATCCTCATGCAGGGTGGCGCTCACTGTGCTGGTGGGCAGCGCCTGGCCCTACCCGTACCTACGGCTCATGAGTATCCCGCAGCTGCTGGCGTACCTGGTGGCGAACTGTGGACTTGCCGCCTGGGCCTACAGCCTGGGAGAATACATCAACACTGCCGTCTGGGGTAAGCTATCGGCATTTTCCTATGTACTTCACGGAGACTTGCTCTTATTGACCGTCTATAAACTTTTTTTATTGCTAGTGGGGTGGGACTAAGTCCCTTGTACTGCGGCCACTTCTGGTCTATTGTACCAGCCCCAGATGATAGGTGAGGGTGATTGTGGAGCAATTGGTGGAATGAAGATTGGCAGGGGAAACCGAAGTACTCGGAGAAAACCTGCCCCAGTGCCGCTTTGTCGACCACAAATCCCACTTTACCAGACCCAGGATCGAACCCGGGCAGCCGCGGTGGGAAGCCAGCGACTAACCGCTTGAGCTATGGCGCGGCCTTAATGTAAGTAAATAAATGTTTCTTCTTTCAGAATGTGTTCACGTCAGCGGTTGTTACATTTTTACTGCACTTTGCTTCTCTTCTGCAGGCAAGGCAGGAAGAATAGCCTGAAGGAGATTCGTCTGAAGGCTAAACCGTTGAGACGAGAACGTGTAAATCCTTCAGTGGATATTTCAATATTGTAAAGCATCGAAAACAAACAGAAAGCAGAATTTCCTTCGCTGTTTATTCAAGAAGAAAGTTTATTTTCGCCGAAATGGGAACTTTCCAACTGGTTTTGGATGTGACTGATGCCTCCGGACATGTAGGCTGATACGTCTTGCAAGAATTCCATAGAGTATCGAAGAGTGAAGACATATTATGTTGTAGCCTATGATAAATTAGAATAGTGTTTTGCAAACTGTGTTATTCTGAGACTCCCATGACGTGAATACAGTGTTTAAGCTCTTCCAACCTATGAAATTACTTAAAATGTGACTTAGAAATTTGAAATACAGTTACTAATGAGCGTTAATTACGTGTATGAAGTACTTTCACTATCATATTGTGCGTGTGTGATTTTATGTGGTCCTTTCTTATAGATTTATATAAACGGTAAATGTAACATCACCATACCAGTATTCTTCGGTTCCCTGAAGAAAGCTTTGACCCCCTCTACCCTCTGGAGGTGTCTTGGCCCAGTCTTTGAGAAATGGAAAATTAGAATGACGGTCCGGATTTCCTAATTTCAATAAAACGCATTTTCAGTGGTTTAAACGTTGTTGCATCAGATTGTTTTCTGTAGGGATTCCAATTTTTTTTATTGCTAGTGAGGTGGGACTAAGTCCCTTGTACTGCGGCCACTTCTGGCCTATTGTACCAGCCCCAGATGATAGGTGAGGGTGATAGTGGAGCAATTGGTGGAATGAAGATTAGCAGGGGAAACCGAGGTACTCGGAGAAAATCTGCCTGAGCGCCACTTTGTCCCCCACAAATCCCACTTAACCAGATCCGGAATCGAACCCGGGCTGCCGCAGTGGGAAGCCAGCGACTAACGGCTTGAGCTATGGCGCGGCCCTAGGATTCCACTTCATGTCACGCGTTCTGCGCATGATGGACATGTGTCCGTCCGTATTGGTACATTCGACGTCACTGTCAACAAATATAATGGCGTGCAACACCATGTCTGTTGAAAATCAACCGAAATTTTTGGAGGAACACGCAGAGCTTGCGACCTGCTTCATGCTTGCTTCTGTCTTGGCTTATTCGTCCACCCTGAAGTTGGACCCTGAAGTGACACATTTCTCCAAAACGTCAGTTGATTTGGATGGACTACATGGCGTTATATCCTAGGACGTAGAACTCTTTTTAAGTATATATGTTTCCAGCGATTTCGGAGCTGATGCTAGATCACAGGCAGATGGACAAATATAAATCCATATAAGACTAATTTTACTTACTGACGTACGCCTTAAAACGAATACGACTCGTAAGAACCAAGAAATCGCAGAGTACCTATTAAAACGCTGATCCTTCCGCAACAATTTCACTGGACTTGTACTGCAGAAATAACTTCATTACTCGTTATATCTTAAAGCAATTGAGTTGAGCGGAATGCTAACTTGTCGGGGGCAGCAGTTAACTTCCTGACACACTTTACATATGCGTACACAGATGTACTTGTGGCATGCACTGCCTTCGCTCGCTCGGAAGCCGGGATCGTGTGTTCGAATCCCACTCAGGGCATGGATGTTTGTGTGACTTTTCTCTGTGTTTGTGTACATGTAGAGGCCTTGCGACGAGCTGATCACCCGCCCAAGGTGTCCTACCGTATGTGTAAGATCTAGAAAAACCGAAGTGAACGGAGAAGTTCATGGAGGTAGGCCTAGGCCCATTGGGGCTGTAGTGCCAAGGGGGGTTAGGTGGAGGGAAGATGTACTTGTAAGATTTGATACATCGGTACAAACGATATGGAAGATTCCATATATCAGACTACACGGCGTCACATCGCAGAAGGCGCTCCAATTTTCTCAGATTCTGTATTCCTACGTTATACATGACCACACTGGAGGGGACCACACAGCAGGAATGTTGACTGATAACTAGGTACCTGGGGTCTGAAGGTGGCAGGTACTATTGCGCTGAAACACGACATAGTTGAATTTTATTGCAAAACGTAGACCGAGAGACTTTCATCAGCTGCTAGGCTTACTTGTAAAGTAGGCTATCCACTAAGATAAGGCTTATTCGTAACAAGCACGGACCACTTAAAGTTTCTTCATCATCACCGTCTTCAAAGGTTGAGTCTATAAGCCCCTTCCGTCTTCAGACATGTAGCCATCTTCTTCTTGACCTACCTAGATCACATCTTCCTATGGGCACGTTCACACACTGTGACATCGGTAGTACGAAAAAAATGTCGTACGATTGTATTGCCGTACGACCTCCTTTTCACACTAGAGCGATTTCATCCGCACCTAATCGCAGTTTTGATGAAGGAACAATGAACGATCTACCGAGAGCGCGTATTTGCTATGTAATATTTTGACCGACGCCGAAAAGAAAAACAGCAGGAAAGGCTGCACTGGGTGCATCCAACCAGTCAAAGGCGAGATGAAGTTGGGTTGCTCCATACATTGTTTGAGGAACTTAGAACTGACGAAAACAAATTTTTCAACTATTTTCGAATGTCTGCTTCATTTTTTGATGAACTGAGTGCCCTACTGAAGAACACCGTTCAACGCCAAAATACCAAAATGAGGAACTGTATTGCACACGTACAGATGCTTGCTCTTGCAATAAGGTAAGTTAAATTATATTCTTTTGAGATGTTGAAATAATGTTTATTTTACAAATTTTAAAAAGTATTTATTACAAAGAATAACATATGCAAATGTTGGAAAATATGTTTTTAAATTATAAAAAGTATCAAATAAAACCTGTCTTACTATAGGATTCTGACGATGGCGTATAACACATAGAGATATTGAGGTTTCGGACTTTATCCATCTTCCTGGTTTTAAGATAACTAAGAAAAACACGACGTTTCGGAAACTGGGTCTGTTTCCGTCCTCAGGTGAAGGAAAACACCTATTCTGTTGGGTCCCTTGGAAAGAGCTAGCCTCAATCACTGGGTCCAGTGGGGACCCAACAGAATATATGTTTTCCCTCACCTGAGGACGGAAACAGATCCAGTTTCCGAAACGTCGTGTTTTTCTTAGTTATCTTAAAACCAGGACTATGGATAAAGTCCGAAAACCCAATATCCCAAAACCTGTCTTGTCTGCAAGTTATTGTGAGCAGAAATCAGACGAGCCGGAAGTGCTGTTTGAATTAGACCAAGTAGAGGCGCAGGGGATGGACAACTTTCAGTGAAGGAAGCAGGAGTTAGTTGAGTGAGTTGGCTGCCGAAATTCTGATACCACTGTGATGCACACTGTTCTGATGGTGTTGTCACTCTTCTGAAATTCTCCTGTGGAGACGGTTGCTGTAGGTCCCAGTATCGCCCTTCACACGTGGACATTGAGTCGCATTGGGAGGTGTTCATTCGCTTGCGTCGTTTGATGTTGCTCACAAGTTGCAACACTCCCATCTGAAATTCTATGACCATCGTCAAATTCTTCAAGGGAAGAAATAACACCTTTAAAGAAAGACAAATGCCTGTTTGGGTTTTCATTTTCCAGCGCTGCCAACATTCTCACTTCTACCTGATCTGGATCGCGACGCGACGTTTCTTCGATCTCATTCTTGGAGATGGCTTCTTAAAACATGCAGCTTCCTGATCATTTGTTTATAATCCGGAGGGTTCCTGGTCGGCAGGGGGGGATTTGTCACTGTCTAGGCTGTCTGGTGTCTCACGCTCACAGTGCAGTTTAGACAAAAACTGCAGTTGTTCAGCATACAAGTATTTGCTCGTAAAGAATGACACAGTTCTGCTCGTTTTGATTTTATTTATTTTTCTAGGAGTTCTAGCGTAAGCGTCTCTGATATTTCTCCATATTTTTAGAACTTCTTTTCCTGTAATGAAATTCAAGTAAAATAAAGTTAAAATTAAAATTAATTAAGAAAAAAATTAATTACATAACAAATATACGAAAGGAATTGGATGAAGAGTTTTACTATTGAATAACTTATTAAAGAGACAAAGAAATATCAACACTAAATAAGAAATGTTCTCTCTTTTTTCAGGTACCTTGCCACTGGCTGCAGTTTTCCTGACCTACATTACACATATAGAACTGGCATATCAACTGCAAGGACCATCGTCCCACATGTATGCAGAGCTATTTGGTCTGTCATGCGATCGGAATTCATTCCTGTACCTACCAAGGAAAAATGGGAACCTATCGCTTCTGGTTTCGAAAGAAATGCCAATTTCCCCAACTGCTTTGGAGAGGTAGACGGAAAGCACATTCGAATAATATGTCCCAATAATAGTGGTTCCACGTACTGGAATTATAAAGATTATTATTCAATAGTATTGATGGCAGTTGCCGACTCCAACTTACGCTTTGTACGTGTAAACATTGGGAGCTATGGGAAAGACAGCGATTCCACTATTTTTAAGCGCTCTGAATTTTGAAAATCAATTCTTACAGGCACTCCTGATCTACCTGAACAGAAAGGTTTACCAGGGACGGAGAGTCCAGCTGTCCCATTTGTCTTGGTGGGAGATGAGGCTTTCGCACTACATTAGCACTTANATAATAGTGGTTCCACGTACTGGAATTATAAAGATTATTATTCAATAGTATTGATGGCAGTTGCCGACTCCAACTTACGCTTTGTACGTGTAAACATTGGGAGCTATGGGAAAGACAGCGATTCCACTATTTTTAAGCGCTCTGAATTTTGAAAATCAATTCTTACAGGCACTCCTGATCTACCTGAACAGAAAGGTTTACCAGGGACGGAGAGTCCAGCTGTCCCATTTGTCTTGGTGGGAGATGAGGCTTTCGCACTACATTAGCACTTATTGCGGCCTTTTGGTGGGTCACAGCTAAGTGACCAAAAAAAAAAATTTCAACTCTCGCCTGAGCAGAGCTCGTAGGTTTGTTGAATCTTCGTTCGGAATTTTGAGTAACAAGTGGCGAATCTTACACAGTGCGATTTATGTTGAACCGGATTTCGGAGNTTGAAAATCAATTCTTACAGGCACTCCTGATCTACCTGAACAGAAAGGTTTACCAGGGACGGAGAGTCCAGCTGTCCCATTTGTCTTGGTGGGAGATGAGGCTTTCGCACTACATTAGCACTTATTGCGGCCTTTTGGTGGGTCACAGCTAAGTGACCAAAAAAAAAAATTTCAACTCTCGCCTGAGCAGAGCTCGTAGGTTTGTTGAATCTTCGTTCGGAATTTTGAGTAACAAGTGGCGAATCTTACACAGTGCGATTTATGTTGAACCGGATTTCGGAGTTGACATTGTGAAGGCTTGTGTGGTCTTACATAATTTCATAAGGGACAGAGATGGATTACCGATCGAAGAAACTTCAGTAGAAGCTACCACAAACATATCAGCGTTGGACGACTTGGCACCAGAGAGCGAGACGCGTGGTGGACGTTCGGCGAACCATACAAGACAAATATTTTCTGAATATTTTGAGGTTGTTGAAGCTGTTCCTTGGCAGCTTTGAAAAATATGACATTCAACTACGTACACTAAATTCGTTGCCTTAGTTTCATATCTTCATTATAACTCTGTTCAACAAATACAAATATACTGTGAAAGTAATAAGTGTACCTACTTACCAATACATTTCTTTCTGAGTCTTTCAATGTTTTGAAATCTTCTTTCAGCCCCAAACAAACTTCATTCCAAGCTTCCTTCGTAGCATTTCTGTCTTTGTATGTATCAACACTTTTAACCCATAATACTGGCCTTACTTCAATCAACGCTGTTGACAATTCCATGTTAAAGGTTACCGACTTTATTAGCGGTCATTGTCACAATCGAGGACATCGAGGAAATAGAAATGGTACTTTGACTAGTGTCATTTTCATAGAACAGGAAGTTGAATTGAGCTTTCAAATTTTCCATCAGAGTGCAGAACTGCCAAAACTATTATATATGCGATAATTTATAGAATTGCCATCAGAGTACAGCACCCATCTGCCGATTACCTGTATGCTATTTATGTGACCCATGCTCAAGCTTGATGTCGGTGAGCTACCGTCACTCTAAGCATGTATAGTATATGTATTTCTTGTGGCACTATAGTTACGCGTGATTGTCGTGTATGTATATTTCTCGAGGAGTTTTAATAGGATTCAGTAATTCCTATTTTTTTCTCTGCATATGTTGGTTATGCTACAAGCTGAGTGTTAGGTTGTCTACCCTGAAGCGTCCGATGTATCAACATGGCGGTGTGTAAATTTCGAAGGTGATAATCTTATGTTCATTAACAAAATGTAATGCTGTTATTGGTGCATGAGTACCATATCGGATATTTGTGTAGTAAATTATGCAGGTTTGTTAGTTTGTGTCACAGTAGGTGTTTTGCATGCTGAAAGCGTAAGGTTAGCGACGTCACCTTACCGGAAGGCGGCATTGGGGCGTGCCATGCGAAGCAGGTTGCGTAACATGTAGGGCTGCTGATGCCATGTGTAAAGTTACTACATTTTGAGTAGTTTTGTACTTGATGGTTGTATTTAAAGAAATAGAGCTTGTTTTTCTGTTTTATAAGTTCTAGAAAGGTAGCATTGTAGCTGAAATACTGGAAGTTACATGAGTAGATGGCAGTTGATACTTAGAATTACGTAAAATGGAAAGTATCAAATACCGTAACTGTTAATTGTATTTTCAGCAGCCTTGAATTGTTATGGAGGATGTCTCGAAGATAACTATCATAGAAACTATAGATACAGCTAAAGAGTATGCTTCTAAACTTGAAGGTCTCATAAAATCAATTGAAGTTGCCAAAAAACAGGTAGGTGTTATGTTATATTTCTAGCAGTGATTCTTGTAGGGTTGTAGCGCCAAAAAAAAAAAGTTTTAAAATATTTTCAGGTGAACACAAGCACACAGAAGACAATTGAAGATATTGATAATGTGTTTGATTTGTTTACATCGGTTGTAATAGATGCCTTAGATAAAAGAAGAAATGTATTGAAAACTGAAGCTTTAAGATATCAAGAGGAAGGTCTGATCCCCCTGAAGGCATGTCATGACCTCATTGAAGGGAAGTTACAAGCCACAGAGGCGTATATTGAAGAGGGCCGCAACATTTTGAGAGTTAGTGGAATTACCAGTGCAGAGGAAATTGTAAAGTTCATTGAAAAGGCTTCACAACTTGGAAGGTTGGTAAAACTTATTGTTTGGTTTGTGCAAGAGTATTTGCGTATTAACAGACAACCCACATGACTCACAGTTTATTCCCATGTTGTCTGCCTCATTATTGCTATCAACCATAGAAATTTATTTGTAAAAATTAAACCCAGAGCATGATCTTAGAATATATTTAGATATTTATTTAAAAAACCAAAAACCCCTCCTTGTGGACCTGTTGCTGTGGGCAGATTCTAAGATTAAGCTTTGTGTTATATTTGTATGAATAGACTTCTAAGATGGCATTGGTATGTAATGTGACGGGCAATATGTGGATAAGTTTTAAAGTTAGTTTGGTAACCCGTTAATACGTGAGTACCTGTGCAATTGTTATGGTAGTATTTCTGGTCAAAGTTTGAGTCATCCTCCACCTGCACTGTCTCCTCAGGTTAACAAGTGAACATGGATTTCTGAAATTGAGTGTTATTTCTTCCTTAAAGTTTCATCCACTGTGTACTGTGATGTTGGCAAGGAAATTGACCACATTCTGGGCAAAGAAATGATAGTTCTTGTGAACGTAGAAGTCTAAAACATTTCAAAAACCTTAGTAGCCAGTGAAACTTGAGTTATGTGAATGAATGCCTAGAGATTCAATGATTCTGAACAAATTCAGTCACAGTTTGTCCAAACCAGAGCAAACCCTGCTTTCTCTGTAATCATGCAGAAGTTACTTCCAGCTCTGAAAAATATTGTATTGTTATTGTGATACAGCACTTAAAGTTTGATGCTTCCAGTTTGCCTGCAGTTCCCAGTCTGGAGGAGGTACCAGACATATCGTTCCAGTGCCCCATGGAGTCCGTGAGTGTCAAAGTAGAGCAGACACTTTCGGGAGTGGGGGCAGTATCCAGGATGGGGCCTGTGCAAGTTACAGAAGTGGATGAGAAACCTGGGGCACTGCTAGTGAGATGGGAAGAGGTATGGCATATGTTTAGTTCACACAGTGTCCACTAGGAAAGCTGCATTCTAAATATGCTGCTGTATTGCCCCCTGAACACTCAGCAGAACATCTGGTCATTTGTTATCCTTTATGGATCAGATGCCATTTAGTTACAAGTTGGGGTCAGTTGGTTAAAATCCTTGAGTTAATTATATATCATGAGATAATTTGCTGACAGAAAACAAGACCTGACCAATACTTGCCTCGGTAGATATGCAGATAATTTGAGTTCAAAAGATGTCACAATTGGTTTCCCTCTACCTGAAGACACAGACCAGTGTTGCAGTCAGCATGACAGGAGGGATTGCAGCAATTGTGGAAGTGATATGAACAGGGCAGGCAAGCATCAGGTCATTGAAGTACGCTATGTTGCCAAGTTTTTCATTTATCTTAGTAAGTTATAGCTTGATATATAATTTTTAATTAGGGGCCTCCTCACATTTCATAATCTTTTAAAATACTAGGTTTTAAATGCCAACACAGGAAGGTGATCACTCACTCACTCACGGAGCTGAGCCCGACTTCAGAAGCCACCAATTGTGCAGCTACAGGAAGGTGATAGTACAGCAATATATATTTGTTTGCAATCCCAGGATAGCCTATGTGGCTGTGACACTCTAGTGCAGGCATGTCAAACTCAACTTGTACAGAGGGCCACCTCAGCCCTATAAATAATAGTCCAGGGCCGCACTTCAAAATAGAAATATACATTAGATTTTGATAAAAGGAAATTTAATTCTATTTATTATTTAGGAATAATTTCAATATAATTACCTAAAGTCACATATCTTACAGTTTTAAAAAGCAAGAGAATGCCATTTTTGACAAGTATCAAACAGCTTTTCAATATGTAAAAAGAGATATTACACAAGAAATTATGTTAGAAATAGCAAAACATTGAATTTCCTGCAGCCTGCTAATTTATGTCTGTGTGAGTCTTCTTGTCTTGTGGTCTGTTGGAAAATTGTCTTTACAAAAAATATTTCTACTAAAATTTTAATATTGATTTTAATATCAATTAGCTCTAAAAGTTGAGGGGCTGCACTTTGTGGCTATGGGGGCTGCATGTTTGACACGGCTGCTCTAGTGGATATATATATATGTTTAGTCTCTTGGGAAAAATCATTTCTTTATGCACCTTGTCATAATAGCAAGCTGTATTATATTAATTTTGTTTTTCTAAGGTCAGCTGATGCTGTACTGTATTACTGTGCAGTGCCCATGTCAGATGGGGTTCATGTCCAACGTTCAGAGGCTGGATGGAGGCACACATGCTGTCCAGAACACTGGATACTCACTCCACATTTGACACAGCTGATTGCACAAGAGAACTGCATTGCATGCAGTCACTCTGAGATCCCCAAGTTATGTTCATGACTCTGATCTTTAGGTGGATTTTGAACGGACGGTGGACATACACAGTTTCCGGCTGCAGATGGCATATGGCGATGTGCGAGGCCAAATGAATCTGCTCGAGGGTAACTTCCATGATGTGTATTTTGGATCAGAGTGTCAGCATCTGGTGCGTGACCTGCGACCTGGTGTGCCATACACATTCCGAGTGTGTTGTCAAGTGGAAGGTGACACAGAGTGGAGTGCATGGTCTTTACCACGAGTTGCCACAACAAATTATGATCCATTTTGTAAGTTTCAGACGTCCAGGGTCACTGACCAGTTTTCCCTCTGGACAATGAAGTTCATCTAAATAATTTATATTTAAAAATTCAGTCCCTGACTCACAGGAAACACACGGGGCTCACATCTGTATGAAGAGCACTGTGTTCTGAGATGCATAACTGTTTGGTCTGGTAGAAAGTCGCCAGTGTCTTAGAGTGATATACTGCTTCCATATTCAGGATAGAAAAATGAAGACATTGAAGGCAGAGGAAGTAAGTTCCTCTGAAACTTCATTAACTTTCTGTAAGACTGCATGGGGTTAAATTCCAGAAGAAGACAGTACTGTATATGCTGTGTCTCCAGTATGAAGACCAATCGGTTAGTTCTGTTTATTTGCCAAAGCTCAAGCACTTAGTCACTGGCTTCCCACCGCGGCGGTCCGGTTTCGATCCCGGGTCTGGTCAAGTGGGATTTTTGGCGGACATAGTGGTCCTGGGGTGGGTTTTCTCCGAGTACTTTGGTTTCCCCTGCCAATCTTTATTCCACCAAATTATCCATCATCATAATCACCCGGGGCAGGCTACAGTAAGCGAATCAGTGGCTGCTGTGCCAAGTGGCCCCAGTTGGACTCCACCCCCTCAAGCGAATTAAAATAAATTAGTTCTCTTTAGAGAAATAATAACTGAAATGCATGTATAATTTATGGGCAGATTGCAGAGTTCCCTTTGATGTTAAAGCAGGTGGTTCAGGTAGTCACCACTGTGCTCTGAAGGGTGTATGATACAGGAGCAATTGGTGATATGGTTAAGAAAGTGATCCAAGAGGCTTACCACATTGGTCACAAATTCTTTCCCTAAAATTCAATTTCACGTTATCTGCCATCTCCGTCTTGGTCAAGTGTCTTTTGTCTTGAGGTTTTGTTGCCAAGCTTTGTTGTTATTCATTGTTTAGCTATGTAGAGCCCTGTGGCCTTCAGCACTAGCTAAGTAGTGCGCTGACATGTTGCAGGCTGGGACCTCTCGAATACAAACTACAAGATAACAAATGAGAACAAGATAGCTACAAAAATATCAACTGATCAGGCCATTCTGTTCTCCAGTTCTGCTCAGTTTGGACCCGGACATTCTATCGAATTCACGGTATGTACTGCTGCGAGGCATTCTTTACAAAGTGAAAAATAAATATCCTTTTTGTGGAGGTCATATGTGTCCATCTGTCTGTGACCTAGTATCAGCATGGGACGTGCCATAGCTGAAGCAGTTAGTTGCTGGGTTCGATCCTGGGTCTGGTCAAGTGGGATTTGTGGTGGACAAAGTGGCACTGGGGCAGGTTTTCTCCGAGTACTTTGGTTTCCCTTGCCGATCTTCATTCCACCAATTGCTCCACGATCACCCTCACCTATCATCAGGGGCTGGTACAATAGGCCAGAAGTGACCGCAATACAAGGGAGTTAGTCCCACCCCACTAGCAATAAAAAAAAAGTGTCAGCATCTGAGTCATTGGACAGTTTCATGAAATTTGATACAGCAGAGACACACTAATATCACTGGACTGTTCCTGGTTTCATCCATATTGATCCATAATAAAGCCTGGTTTGCCTATGGTATAAATGGACTTTTCTGTGCATCCGATGAACTGTTTCACAGATACTGTTGAAATTCAATATGGTAGACTTCCAGTGATTGAAATTTCATTGTTTCATTTCTGAAGTAGGCTTTGTCATGGAGTACACCCTCTCTAATGTTTTTCTTATGGCATTCACATATGGCCTGTGTTTACAATTTGAACCCCTCTCCAGATAGGGACAGTAGCTGTAAAGCACATTTGTTTACCCCCACTAACCATGATAGTGGCTGTCTGCGGATGGGATCTGCAACTTAATGTGACCAAGCAGCCTGGTTGGCACAATGGTAAGACTGTGCTCATGTTTGGGAAGTGCTCTGTGTGAGTCTTGCCTGGGAAGAAAGCTATCCTGACTGGATTTTCATGGTTTTTGCTGAGTCCCTCTAGGGACTATGTCTACTTCCTCACAACCCATTTCCAGGGTATCAGGCATCAGTCTAAATACTGACAGCATCATGAAGTGACCCACAAAAACAAAGAATAAGAAGCTTCATGTGAACCTTTGGCAGAGGTGAAGGTTTGGATCTGTGAGCAGAAATATGCGCACAAAGATCTGACAGGATGAGACTCAGAACTTGGCCAGATGAGAGTCTAATACTGGTGATTGCACTGTTAGGTGTCATGGCCAGTTGTGTTCGCTGTAATGGTGAAAATGAGGGTTCAGAAATGGAAGAGATGAAGAATGACACCTGAGCTCAAAGTTTGCAGCTCTGATCTCTAAAGAACAAGAGCATAATCGGATTCAGTGTGCAGTATGTTGACCATTTCCAGGCTGAGAGTGATTTCATAAATTCCTCTGTGTGACTGTATGTGAGACCCAGTTGGTGTAATGACTGGATGACTGCAGGATTGTGGTTCCATTCCCAGCAAGAGCAGAGATTTGTCTCATCTCCGCAACATCTTACACTGGCTCAGGGGCCCACCAAGCCTCTATGCAATGGGCACTGGGGCCTTTTTCCCTAGGGGTAAAGTGGTAAGGTCAAGAAGCTGACCCCTCAACTCCATCTAGTGCTGAGGTTAAAAATGCACAGAATTATCCTTCCACTCCCGTGCATGTATTCATGGCATGGCGCATAGTTAAGGACAGGGACAGCTGGGCTTTTGAATTTACCATAGCAGCAGCAAGTAGAAAGATGTAGATGGTCAGCTTTATTTCATTTATTTCTTAATGGCATTGAAGTAGATTTCAACGAGTAATTGAAAAAATCAGTGTAAAGACATTGCACCTAGCTTCTCACATATGATTGTAAAAAGTAAAGTAAAAGGTAAAGCTATCCCTGTAACAGGCCCTACAGGCCCATAGGGTTGTGAGACGTTGAGGGTCCCACACTAGACAATCGGCTCAAAGGTGGCGGTAAGGTTGTCAGCCTTATGCGCCAGCCACGCTTTACTCCCCAGGAACATTATTTAATTAATTCCCAGTACTCATTTCTGTTAGAGGCTGAGTCTACCCCAGGGCCATAGTGCGGCAGGAAGGATTAGGTAAATTGAAAAAAATCCAATGACCTCATCGTGAATTGAACCCATGACCTTCTGGCTTGTAGCATAGTGCTTCAACCAACTACACTACCGCATGCCCCCCATATATGATTGACCTAGACTATTAGCCTGGAAGCAAGGTCGGTCATTGGTCAATTGCTGAATGGTGTGCAGCACTGAAATCTGATTAGTAAAGCGAGTTCCAAAGACTCTCACATATTCCATTTGAGTCTGTAATGCACATACCATTATTTTGCTGAAGAAATCAATTATATTGTTTTATTTAGGGAATGGTCTCCATAAATTATTGAAATTTAATCAGAATTGTTAGAACTGTATTCAAGAAAATCATTTTTGTGTTTTAGGGCCCATCTGAGGGGCCTCTATTTTTGAAGCCAGAATGGGCCTGACCTGTAATGGATAAAGTCTTGAATACCGAATATGAATGAAATCCGACTGACTGTTCAGGTATTATTAAGGCGCAACCCATGTACTTGTATGAATGCACACAGACAGATGGTACACCAGAAACAACTTTTCATATTCTGGGGTGCTCAAAACATGTAAATCCATCAAAATCACAAGACCATTATTTTTCATCATGACAGTATTTTCTCTTATAGAGAAGGAAGGAGGTAACATATAGTGTATCTGTACTCACACAAATGTAACTATACATGTGTAAAATGTACAAAGTACAAAACAGAGCTGATAAAATATTCATGTGCACTTTCACTGTATTGACACAACAAGTATACATATCAAGATTACGGCATGCTAGGATATGATGCCATGTACTTTTCATTGGCTAGTATTAATGTTTTGGAGGAACTTGTGCCTCTACCTTCAGGTTAAATCCTACAAGCCCATAATCTTAATATTCACTGTTGTTATAACCTAAAATCCAAAATGTCTACATGTGTGACAGGTACTAGAATGCGGGGTTGGCTGCAGTGATGAAGGACTTGGGCTTGTTGATGTGGGCGTGGCAGGTGAAAGCCTTCTGCAGCCAGGAGCACTGTTCGTCAACGCACTAGGTGATGTTATGACGCATATGAACATCTGCATGACTTTAGATTCACGTGCCAGTCTCATTTGTTTGAAGCCTTCTTGAGACTGTGCTGCAAGTGAAGATGATATTTGCTGGCTCCTCACTCTGGAGTCTCTGGTTCAGTACTAGGTATTCCATGTGGGATTTCTGCTTTAGAGTGGCAGTGGGGCAGGTTTCTATCCAAGCAGTTACCATTCTGCCAGTGTTCCACGCTTACCTGTCTAGAGCAGTGCAATAGCTCAAGCGGTTAGTCACTGGCTTCCCACTGCAGCGGCCTGGGTTCGATCCCAGGTCTGGTCAAGTGGGATTTGTGGTGGACAAAGTGGCGCTGGAGCAGGTTTTCTCCGAGTACTTTGGTTTCCCCTGCCAATCTTCATTCCACCAATTTCAGCACAATCACCCTCACCTATCATCTTGGGCTGGTACAATAGGCCAGAAGTGGCCATAGTACAAGAGACTTAGTCCCACCCCACTAGCGATAAAAAAAAAACACATATCTTTAGAGGCCGAAATGACAGGCATGTTTGTGTCCATAGTACTAGGGGGCTCAGTTTCACTAGTGTCACTGTACTCCAAGTGAACACTAAAGTTGACACCTGCTTGTATTTCCTGGCAGATGATTTGTGTTTATCCTTTCATTCTTGAGGTAAATACAGGTGGAGCATTCCCCTGAAATACAGAAGGGATGTGTTCCAGAAAATGTGTAGCCATCATGCACTTCCTCTTGTTCTAGTGACTCCCAAGTTACGAGTGTGGATGGTTTTTTGCAGGAATTCTTCCAGTCCACAGTTGTAATAGAAATATACTTATTTACCATGCAGAAATGGTCTGCTTACAAAAAGTTAAATTTGATGGTCTCTTTCTATGCTTGTTAGATAAGGGTAGTACACTCCACACAATGGGAGTAGCAACCATTCTACCAGTCATACCTTTGTGTTACAGATACAAGTTCACATGTGATCTGAATTTCTTAGCAAATAACGATATATTGAAGGAAATAATTTTGTCCAAATTTGGTTTTTTGCATTATATGATAATTATTTTAACTTATCTGTCACAACTTTTCATAAAAGCGTCTGTTCTTAATTAATGAAGCATGATCCCATGAAGAGGTATGGGGGAGTCAAGGTATAGATCCACATATCCTAACCTCAGTCACTAGATGGAGGTGAGTGGTCAGCTTCACACCCCAGCCACTTTAACCCTGAGAGAAAAGTCCTACATATCCAGTGAATAGGAGTGTGAGTAGGTCCCAAAGCCAATCTGGATACCCTATAATAAGGGGCAAAATTTCTTGCTCCTGCCTGGCCGCTGCAAAATTTCAAGTGGGAAGTCCTCGAGCAACCTCTGTATAGCCCCGATCTTGGTCCAAGTGACTCCCATATGTTCGGCTCTCTTGAACATTTCCTTGACGATGAAGGTGTAGAAAGGGAAGTCATCGCCTGGTTCCAACAGCAGCCCAAAGAATTTTATGCTGCTGGTTTTCAGGGGCTTGTGAAACAATGGGACAAGTGCCTCAGTGTACAGGGAGATTATGTTGAGAAATAAAATAATTTTTCAAATCAGTACTCTTATTTGTTTCGTTTTTCAAATCAGTACTCTTGTTTAAGTTCTATATCCATTTGTAACTTACTTATTGACTTACCTACATAGCTTGTAAAGGAAGAGAAGAGGTAGAAAGGTTCAAACCTTGATGTTGATGATGATCGTGAATTTTACGGTCATGATTTATAATTTCCATAAAGGGATAATTCTGCAACCTGGGGATTCGACTGTGCCTTGAAAGTAAGAAAACATTGTTACAAAACTCTGAATAAACAAACTTTATTTGTGTATTCATTTACTTGTTTTGTTTTGTTTCCATTCAGGCTGTGTGTTTGTTGATGGCAGAGAGAAGACAACGAAATTGCCAAGGCTAGAGAAGGGCTCCAAAGTAAGCTTCACATGTGAACATGTACGGGAGAACAAAATCCGAGTTGACATCGACAGTAACAACAAGACAGTTACGTACGATTGGAACATATCCAGTCCACATCTTAAACTTTACTTTGCCATTTGCTTTGGACAGTCAGAATGGAAAGTTCTTGTTGAATAAAAGAATTTCAGTTACAGATGAATTGTTGTACTCATACTGATCTTGGGACCGTAGTGGAAGTGCAGTGACATAAATGCACCATTCAGACACATAACTGTGTCCAGTAAATGTAAATACAGTGAAATGCACATACAGGGCTTTTTTGGGGACCAGTGAATTTGAGCACCAAAGGGAGGGAATTTAACACTGAGATTATTGACTTGGGTTCATAGGAGCTGAATATTAAGTGTGGGGTTCCACTGTATACTGTTTTGAGATTTTTGGTTTTCGTGGTAGTTATCTTCTGGGTCACGACGGTTACTAGTGTTTAAGTGGCACAAGTTCCCTCCCTCTACCCTGAACACAGAGTGGCAGTATATTCTTCCAACCCTCTGCCAGGCTGGATGGTGACAACACAGAAGGCCATTATCTGTTTGTTGTGTTTTCTTAACTAATGTCATTGTAGAGCTGTTGGTTATTCACCGAGCAAGATATTTTGTATCACCAAACTGGAAGCATTATTATCATCGTACAGGGACCCTCCATTAGACCTTGTAATGAGCCAGCTCACATTGCACCCTCTCCAAAATCCACTGTAATGAATCAGAAGAGCTCAAGTTTGATGTGTCCACCTGAAGTTATATGTTCATCCCTTGAAGACTGAATAAAGTCAACCCCATGTTTATTTAGTCACCACACCATGAAGACATGTATGGGAGTGAAGTTATAGCTCTGCATGTGCTTAACCTCACTACTGGTGGGTCGTCATCTACACCAGTGGCTCTCAACCTTTATGAGACCGCGGCCCAGTAAGTTCTTTTTTTATAAGACGAGGGCCCAGTCCCAACAGATTTACTCGTAAATACCTTTCCAGTTTTGTTAAAGTTCATGCATTAAGCTAACGTAATATTAGTAATTAATTACAGCATAATCATAAAGAGTATTAGTACACTTATGTATATAGTGTGGCATGTTGACAAACATAAAATTACATTTAAATTAGTTATCCATCACTGGACTAATGAAATCTTGTAGCATTTTGTAGATTCCTAAGACCAACATCATTAAATTAATTTGTGCTAATTTTCATTGACATATCCCATGCTGATCACCAAAAACTTATGTTATTCAGCGTAAAATTGATTATTGTGTTATTAAATTGATTTTAATGATGTTGGTGTGAAAAAGATGGCAGTGAGAAAAATATTTACGCATTGTAACTCACCATAGAAGTCAGCTGAGTAGGGGAAGAAGCAGAAGGATGTCAACTTGCGAAGAAAACAGTATTCAGTATTACTAGATTTGAGAACCGGATACAGACTGCCTTGATTTTCAATTTCAGTGGAAACATTTTCTTTATACTTCCTTGCTGATTGGTCACTGACATTTGCAACAGAGATGTTATTTCGCTCAGTTCTGAGAACAGAGAATATGCCACCCATTGTTGTAATTGGCTTGCAGGCAATTTTTATGACTGGTCATAAACATTGGTATTGCCTTTCCCGGATGTTGAAAGATTTGGATGTGTGAAAATTCCCGATCATTCATGAATACTTCCATGTTTAAGAATATGCAGCTTGGTCACTGACCAAGAATATTCTTGAGGGTAAAGGGCAGCCAGCACGTAAGGCTGACAACCTTACTGCCATCTATGAGCCGATTTTCTAGAAAATGTGGGACTTCAACATCTCAACCCTATGGGCCTCCATCTGTTACAGGGATACATTTACTTTAATTTTTTTAAATTATGCTGATATGATGTATTGCTGCATATGTCAAGAAAAAAGCCCTACTGAGATGTAAACTCAGTAGCATAGTACTTGACTTTATTTACTCCAAATATCGGTGCAGAATTGATCCTGAGATTTTATTATATTTCAGAAAAAGCATGAAACATCTGGCAGAAAATGGCAAAACCTTTCTCTGCCATATGCTGCCATATCTACATCAGAAAGTAAGTTACTGATAAAAAGACTGAATTGGACAGCGCAATGGGAATGCTTTTGGCATGGGATTTGGGGCTGCATAATTTGAATCTTAGCCAGAATATCTGCTGTCTTGACTGAGGTATTTTGTGCCTTTGCACAGTCTTGCCATTCAAATTCCAGGATAGTCCCTGGATTATGCCATGACTGCTTCCTTTCAGTTCATCTGTCATCCTACTATTTGACACTATAGCTATTGACAGGATTATGAACTAACCCATAAGAAATGGTGTGAGGCAGCCTGACTGGTCCACTAAATTGCTATATTATCATTAGAAAGTGTGCCACATTCTGCCTTAAATATACCAGGGAATCAAACACATCATAGCAGAGATCATGTTGAACACACAGGACTTTCTTTCCATATGGTCACCGACTTGAGATATGAGATACCCTCAAAGATATTTTAGACAAACAGTTTTTACAGATTGCAGTATTTATGAAACTGTTGTAATGATAAGTAGTATGGATGCATCTTTATAAAGTGAAATATGAAATGTAAAAAAAAGTCCGTTAGATTATAAGTTTTGAAGTTCTCATGGAGGTACATATTCGGTCTGTCTTCTGGTTACGACACTGTAGTCCCGTAGGTGGTACAGTGTTTTGGTGGAGTGCACTGCCTACATCTTCCAGGATCAAAGTTGAACTTGAGACAGTATGTGCCCCTCAAGCATTGTTACTCACTCACGAGGCTTGTGTGATATTAGAAGCCAGAAGACCAGAGTCGGAAGGCTGTTTGATTAGTGAGAGACGAGTATTAAAATGTTAATAGAACTCTTGCAAGTATGTGGTGTAATTCTGTATAATGATTTTGTTTTTCATACAGCCAGATATAATAATGTTTTTTTAATCTAAAAAACTGTATCTTGTTTATTTATATAGAAATATTTGTATCAAAGATCATGTATTTCAGAAGTAATTGTTCAGGCTGATGGAATTATATAGGGGAAACTTCCTCCAAGGTTTATGTCAAGTTCAGTGCCACTGACACAGAGAGCATGTATCATATCTTCCAATCTAGACCTTGTCTTCTGAGGGCCTTCATACTCGTAGTATGACATTTCTGTACAAAAATTCTGTGCTGTGTAGTTTCAGAGAAACAAAATAACTGTGCATTCATGTATGGAGGGGGCATAAGATCTCTTTCTCCCTCTTGTTAGTGATGCCTTCAGGTCTCCATTTGTGTCTCGCAGTAGGCTGTTGCCACTGTATCTTTTGTTACCTTACATTCTCTCCAATGATGATGCTGATCCCTCGGTATCTCACATTTGCTATGGACATAGTGTGGTTTGTAGTATAATTTATATGTCCGCATAATTTTTAAAACATTTAATTCAGAGTTTTATGCATTTATATATACATATATTGTATTTCATCCTGTAGGTGAGTTTGCTGTCGATGAGTTCAAAATAGCTTGGTGCCAGTCTTCTGTTATTTTTATACAGGTTTGCATATCATTTCATCAGTTTCTTGAACCTTGAATCTTGATGTCTGGTAAACATTTGTTATGATGTACTCTAGCTATTCTCCATCTGATTGGCTAAAATAAGCAGCCAGTAGCACTTAGAGGATGTCCTTTAGGAGAGGAATGGTATTTTGTAATTTTACAAAAAAAATCACATTTGATTGTATAAATTAATAGAGACCTTTGATAACATGTTCTCAGGTAACTTTTGTCAGTAGTCAGATTGTAGATTTGGCTTTTATTTAATGTACTATTGTATGAAAGTTTATTTAGCTGAATATTACACACAGTGATGTTATGTTTGCAAAACAAATGAATTCATACTTGTACTAGGTCACTGCCAGAAACATATACTGCTTTCCTAACTCCATGTAAAGTAAAATTGTCCTTGTGCTTAATTAATTGAGCACTATGGCATGAAGACATATGGGGGAGTGGACGTATACCACCGCCATTCTTGACCTTGGCACTGGATGGAGGCAAGCATTCAGCTTCACGATACATCTACTTTACCCCGAAGGAAATTGCCCCTGGTACCCATCAATAGGAGTCAGGGTGGGATCCAGAACTGGTCTGGACACTGGAGAAGGGAAGAATCTTGTGCCTGTGAATCCATCCATCCCTTCACTGTGTCACCTGAGCTATCCCAACTCAATAGGTGCTTGGGACACTGGTTATCCCAACAGATTTCTCATGGTGCCCCTCTCCAGACAAGTGCTGGCATAGTCCCACAATGAGACCATGACTACTTCCTGTACTTTGCAATTCATCACCCTATCGTTTGATGCCATGTAGACTTGATACTGTCTGTTATTAAATACCAAGTTAGAAAAAGAATAAACACATAGCATTTCTGTTATAAAGACCAACTGGTTATTGCTGTTTAGGTATATAATCACTGTTAACTGTGAGAATCATATGAAACACACAAATACACTGTGTAGGCAGATACAGTTGTTTGGAGCAAAATGAGCATTGCGATCAGTCAGTAGTAACCGAAGATCACAGATTGATACCGCCAAATCAAAAATCCAGGACTAGTTTTAGAGGTGGTGGTCACAGGCAGATTTGTCATTACAACAGTTCTGTTGCATGACTGTAGATGCATGTAATGTGGAGGATGTGATAAGCCTTTTGCAAAAATTTGACACAGTTCTGAATGAGATGTAAAAGTTTGTGACAATGGTACATTGCTACAAGTATAATGTTTTTGGATATTATCTATCATCTTGTCTATATTTAAAAACCATGCTGTTTATTTTTCAAAACATGTTTCAGAGACTGGATTCTGTCTCCATCCTCAGGTAAAATCTACTCAGTTGGGCCTAATAGATAGAGCTAGTCCCTATCTCTGATGTTTTCTGAAATATAAACAGGACGGTTTTTAAATATAGATAATACGATGGATAATGTCCAAAAACATTATACACATACTTGTAACAATTCCGAATAATTGCAGATTTCTACACTTTTATGTACTAGTATGTAGCTGAACCATGATGGGCATTAGATGACCACATACACAGACAATTCTTCTGATAGTTTGTGGAAACAGTGTTACATGTATCCATGGGTGCTGTGTCAGTCCGGATACATTCAAGCTTGTTACTCAGACTTACACTCCACACACGCCCAGATTCAGAACAAGCTGGAACTGTCGTGGTCTTAGTAGTGATGTTATCTATTCCCTTTCCAAAAAAGGGCATGATTATATGTAACGTGTTCATACAGCTGGACGTTAATGCACTTGTGTTGCACTTTAGACGTTTTCATTAATGATATTATCTGTGCATTATGCCACAAAATATACCATATAATTTCTTATCAGAATAGAACTTTGGTCTGGATGAAGTCTGAAGGCTTCTCTGTGGTTAACATTAACTCAAGGTTTTAGCCACACGCCTCCTACACCTGTCACTCAATCAGTCAGAACTGCACTTCTGCACACTGATATGTGTGCACAGGAGCCAGGATAACACAGGTAGTATAATGACAGGCTTGATGGCTAACGTAAGAGGTTTTTCCATTTTCCGTGGCCTCGCAAGTGGTCCTGGGGCACACCCAGTGTCCTATCCAGTGAGACACGGGAGGCTCTTTTTACTTTTATTGGCAAATAGAACTAGAATAGCTTCCTGTTTGTGCATCTGCTGTAAAATGTGCAATATACATCCACACATAAAGCATGTTCCTTGTTGTCAGCCAACTTGGGTCTTTATCAAGCCAAGTCACAGTACTTTCTCACTCCAGTCCAAGACGTTTAAAGTAATTTTGAACTCCAGAATCCTTTAATACAAATAGTCATTAATTTATTATTTATCGAGACTCTTTAAACACTGGGACAGCGTGAACGCAGACCCAAGTACCAAAAATTACATGCCCAGTTACCCACATCTGGGGCAATCAAAATGGTCAACCAAACCACAGTGCAATGGAACATTCTCACCCTGACAGAACCACCTTCTGAATCACAGTAACCCCAATGACAATGCCCAGTAATTGTTCTGCTTCTTTATTGAAGTTTCATTGGTGTAACATACTGCAAATAAGAAATGTTCTTAAAATTTGTTCATTATGTTACATATTTATCATTCTTTTACATCGAATTATATATATGTGTGTGTGCAGATGTATTTATGTATTCTACTTTGTTAATACATCATTATTAACTTACATATCAGCAGGCTCATCTGAGATTCATAAACTCATTCTATTTGGAATAAGGAAGAATTGCTTGAGCAGTGGCAGGAGTCTGTTATTGTGCCAATTTACAAGAAGGGTGATAAAACTGACTAGTAATTATAGAGGGATATTACTGTTGTCAACTCAAACAAAATTTTATCCAATATACTTTTGTCAAGGTTAAGTCCTTATGTAGATGAAATTATTGGGGATCATCAGTGTGGGTTTCAACATAACAAATCAAGTACTGATCAGATTTTTTCTCGTCAATCTGGGGAAAAAATTGGAGTACAATGAGAAAGTACATCAGATAGTCTTAGACTTCAAGAAAGCCAATGATTCAATTCAGAGGGGAGTATTGTACAATATTCTCACAGTTTTGGGTACCTATGAAACTAGTTAGGTTGATTAAAATGTGTTTAAATAAACCTACAGTGAAGTCCTTACAGGTATATATTTGTCTTATAAGTTTTCTATTCAAAATGGTATAAAAGGAGATGTTTCATTACCATTGCTTTTCAACTTTGCTTCAGAATATGCCATTAGGAAGGTCCAGGAAAACCAAGTGGGGCTGAAATTGAATGGGACACAGAGGCTGCTGGTCTGTGCTGATGATGTGCATCTATTGGGAGATAACATAAGAAATACAGAGAAACTCAGAAACTTTAATGATAGTAAGAAGGTTGGTCTTCAAGTAAACACAGAGAAAACTAAGTGTATGTTGCTGTCTCATCACCAGAATGCAGAGAAAAATCATGACATGAAGACAGGTAACATGTTTTGAAAATGTGGCACAGTTCAAATATTTGGGAATGACAGCAACAAACAAAATCTGATTCAGGAGGAAATTGAGAGGAGATTGAATTTGTGTAATGCTTGCTGTCATTCAGTCCAGAACCTTTTGTCTTCTCATCTGCTGTCTGAAAACATAAAAATTAGAATATAAAACACTTATCACTTTGTCTGTGGTTCTGTATGGGTACGAATTGTTCTCTGACTTTAAGAGAGGAACATAGACTTGAGGGTGTTTGAGAACACAGTGTTACAAAGTCAATAGAAAGTCCGTCCAGTGTAACAATTTGTAGGTTACTTCTTTATCACTTCTGCCTTACATGTTTCAGTTTAATACAACCATCATCAGAGGCACATAGTACAATCATGAAAACACTGTTGTTGTTTAAGATGTACACAGTTATGTTTGCTGCGTGGACGCTGCTACAATATGTCGACGTGTAAAAGCACAACACTTGCTAGGATTGTTGAATGCTCTATCAATTCTCGCATTCCATCCGAAACTTCCCTCAAGTTAAAAACGTCAATGTTAAATATTTAAAAATTTTAAAACATTTGATGTGAATGTTAAGCTCCTCCTTGTTGATTCATCCCAAAGATGGGAGATGTCAGCTTGAGGTATATGTCTTGTGGTTAGATGTTTCCAATGTGCTGTGTGTTGTGTACACACAAGCTGACATCTCCCATCTTTGGGATGAATCAACAAGGAGGAGCTTAACATTCACATCAAATGTTTTAAAATTTTAAAAGATTTTTAAATATTTTAACATTGACGTTTTTAACTTGAGGGAAGTTTCGGATGGAATGCGAGAATTGATAGAGCATTCAACAATCCTAACAAGTGTTGTGCTTTTACACATCGACATATTGTAGCAGCGTCCACGCAGCAAACATAACTGTGTACATCTTAAACAACAACAGTGTTTTCATGATTGTACTATGTGCCTCTGATGATGGTTGTATTAAACCGAAACATGTAAGGCAGAAGTGATAAAGAAGTGACCTACAAATTGTTACACTGGACGGACTTTCTATTGACTTTGTGATTGATAGTGTAACGGACCAAAAATGAAACAATTCAAAACACAGTGTTGATGAGAATATTTGGACCAAAGAGAAATTAAGTGATGGGAGACTGGAGAAAACTGCATAATGAGGAGCTTCATAACTTGTACTCTTCTCAAAGTATAAATAGAATGACCAAGTCAAGGAGGATGAGGTGTACAGGGCAGGTTGCATAAAGTGGGTAGAAACGGAAGAATATAGGACATTGGTGGGAAAGCCAGGAGGAAAGAGATTACTAGGAAGACAAAGACGTAAATGGGTTGATAATATTAGCATGGATATTAAGAGAAGATGGGATGGTATGGACTGGATAGATCTGGCTCAAGATAGGCTCTAGTGAGTCTCTTGTGAACACAGTAATGAACCTTCGCTTTCCATAAAATGTTGAGTAGTTTCACACCTAAACCGAACGACGACTTCTCAAGAAACGTCAACAAATACGCAGCTCGAAACTTCTTCCTTATTAATAAGCTCTAATCCACAACCTTGTTAATTCCACCGCTTAGTAATTTAAAGCGCTCTATAGGCTCTATAGTTCCGCTGGTTTCCGATTAAAAGCGCGTGCGCGTGTTGCTTTTTTTACTTCGCAAATGTTTGAGGTAGAAGAAATGGATATTGTAACGAAGGTTTTAAAAACAGCAGCAGAACAGGCCAAGCAGTTTAAAAGCATTAATGTAGAAAAACATCTTGAACTAGAATATGACCTAGGGACGTTATTAGCTGTAGATAGTAACGATTTAGACTTGAAACAGATGAGGTTTGTACTTGTGTGTAGGTTATGGTTGTACTTGTGTGTAATACTTACGTAAATAGCACGTGTTTTTATTTCAGATCTTGAACTAAAATATGACCAAAGGACATTGTCAGCTGTAGGTAGAAACGATTTAGACTTGAAACAGATTAGGTTTGTACTTCTTTCTAGGTTATGGTTGTGCTTTCGTATAATGCTGACCTTAAGTAAATACGTGTGTTTTTATTTCAGATCTGAATCAAACAGAGATGAATATCTAAAAGATCTAGCCCGGGATAACACTCAGCTTCTTCTGAATAAGATTTGGGAATTGCCAATAGAAAGAGTGGAGGAAGCAATAGTTGCGAAACTTCCAGCACCAACATTTGTACTGCCCAGGGAGAAACCACTTCCAAAACCAAAGCCACTAACAAAGTGGCAGAAATATGCCCGGGAGAAAGGAATAACGAAAATAAAAAAGTCTAAACTTAATTGGGATGAAACACTGCAGGTGAATTCATTAATGATTTTCATTTTTAATTCCTTTTGTGGAAGATCATGTGACAGTTTGAGTGCGGAAAGGGTAGTATTGCCTCTGTGCCTAATTTTTGCACACTGGTGTTAGGTAGAGATGAGCAGCAAGCTCTTAAACAGGCACAAATTTTGTTCATGGGGTAGGTTTAAGGATGCAGATCATGGTCCTTTGCATGTGTAGTTGAGAAACTATATTCCCATTTTTTTTTGGCAGGAATCAAACACTGATGTTTTGAGATCATAATTAGCCACATTAAAATTAGGTACCTTGAGTCCCACAATTCCTGTTTGTATGTTATGATTAAATTATATTAGTTGGTGTTTGCTTTTATTTTCAGAAATGGGTGCCACATTATGGTTTCAAGCGTGCAGCAGCTGATAAAGAGAAGAGCTGGTTGCTACCTGTACCAGATAACGCTGATCCCAATGAAGACCAGTTCAGCAAGCTGTCTGAAACTAAAAGTGAAAATGTTGCAAAGAATGAATTCCAAAGGCTCAGAAATTTGGCAAAAGCCAAAAATATAAAGATTCCAAGAGTTGGATTTCTTTCAGTGGATAAACTTAATTCCAAACAGGTCACAATTCTGATTATTTACATTTCTAAAGTCAGCTTTACAATATGGTGTCTTTATATCTGGTTCACTCTAACATATGTATCTTGACTAGAGTCAACACAATGTCAAAGAGTAGAGTAAAGTAACATAACATAGCCTCATTCTGGTCAGATGTGTCTGAAGAACATGAAAGGATATTTGTAATGCAGCTGTGGACCCATCTGGTTAATAGCTGGCTTACAGAATGATATAGGAGCTTGGATAGCCCAGTCAGTATAGCGACTGGCTATGGGCTGGAAGACTGAGAGTTTGGAGTTCAAGTCCTGGTAGGGTCAAGAATATTCTCTCCACCATGTCTTCCAGACCAGCTCTGGGGTCCACCCAACATCATATCCAATAGGCACTGGGGACTCTTTCCCAGGGGCTAAAGCAGCTGGGGCCTTTAGCTGACCACTCACCTCCGCCAAGAAAATGTGGATCTATACATCCACTCCCTCATACACCTTGATGGTGCAGTGCTTAATTAGTTAAGCACAGGGACAGCTTTACCTTACAGCATGATATAAACTACCTGGTCACCATATGTGCTAGTTACTGGACTTGAGGTTCTCACCATAGTGACTGTGATGAATGCTGCCCTCTGTCATGAAACCGTGTAGTCTTATGGACGTTCAACATTTCAGAGGAACATATTGTTCAAGGTGAAGAGTAAGCCAAGGAAGAAAGAAGCAGGTGGTACCAGTAGTAAACTCCCAGTTCTTTCTCCATGTGCAAGTTATCCACCATGCACACTGACAGTTGGATTGCCAGAACCCTGTATTTATTGATTATAGCTTCTGGAAGTTTTTTATTTATTTAATCTATTTTTTTTTATTTATTCTGGAATTTATTTAGATGTTGTCCATTACATCTGTTTCAATTATGATTTACAGTGATTTGCAGCAGATAGTACATATTCTTACCCTGTTGCAATATTATGTTTTACTGTTTCATGTGTTTTCCCTGAATCCTACCACTGAACAAAGGTAAAAAGTGAAACTATCCCTGTAACAGTCTGTGGAGGTCCAAACGGTTATGAGATGTCAAGGCTTCCACGTGTTTTAGACAGTCGGCTCACAGATGGCGGTAAGGTTGTCAGCCTTATGCACCGGCCACCCTTTACCCCAAGAAAAATTCCCGGTACTGATTTCTATTAGAGGCTGAGTCAGCCCCAGGGCCATAATGCTGCTGGAAGGATTATGCCAATTGAAAAATCCAAGGGCCTTATCAGCAATCGATCCTGCAACCTTCCGGCTTGTAGCATAGTGCCTTGACCAACTGCTCTACTGTGTGCCCCACTGAATAAGGATTTCTTTCTTATATTGCAAAGATGTTTGTCTCAGGGTTCAGTGGTCAATAACAGGCGGTAATTAATATTGGTACCTGCTTCACGCTGCTTTCTTGTGTGGCTTATTCTTTGACCCTAAAGATGGAGGCAACATCTTGCTCTTAAGTGTCAGTTGACTTCCAGCAGACTACACAGTATTATATCCCAGAAGACAGAACTCTTCAACACTGATGTGGCTTTCAGGGTTGAATGCAGCATACAGCCAAACTTTCAGTGTAACATTACGATTTGATTTTGATTGACCAAGAAAGAGTATATGCAGAAAAACAAAAGTGTAATATTAGAGTGTGAAGTGCCAAATTATATAAATAAATTCAATCTAAATAAAGGCATATAACTCCATAATGTTATAATGAACTAACAAATAAAGAATATTTACATTTGGACTATTTCTGCTAATTTTATGCTTATGCTTTTGCAAAATTAAGTTAGATGCAATGTAATTCATTATTATTTTATATATATTTCTGCATGTTTTAACAGATTTGTATTTACAGTTTAAATGTAGTTGGTTGGCTGCTTTGTGTATATCGCCGTGGTGCAAACATGTGTGCGTCACAAGAAATAAGATAGAAGAAGACTTTTTAATGTTAGTTCATGTAACTATTAATGTTAGACTTAAAACAGGTATTCAAGTTTTTTTTGATTATGTGTTGCTTTTAATAATCCACATTACTTCTCTTGCCTCTGTTACTGTGGATAATCAAAAGAGTTCTCTGTAAACATTTGTTTTATATATGGGTTCTTAACTTAGTTGTCTTTTGGGTTACAATCCTGCGTAGAAGGCTCCGAAGATGGAGGCAATGTGTTCGTTCCATGGTACACAGACTCATATTGCAGACCATATAAACATCGCAACCGTGGCAGACCTTGGTTCTCATATGATTGTTTCCCTGTGTATTGAATGGTGCTTTTTCACTTGCATTGATTATACAGTGCCAAATTATAGGATGATTTAAAAACGATGAATCAGAAAGGATGTGGAAGTGGTCATGGCCTGTCTTAAAGTACCAGCATTCACATGGAGCAACTAAGGAAAGGGATGAAGAATATCAGTCAGGATTCTGGGCGTCTGTGCCCAATTTTCAATGCCGAGTTTCCAGTATAGGGAACAGGAGTGCAAACCAGTCAACTGCGATATCAAGTCAAGTAAACGTTCTCCATATTGTAAAGTTCAATAGAGTTGGTTCGTTTCTGCACCTGTAAGAGCCTCATATTGATGAGTCAGTGTTCATGAATGACATTCATTACTATACCAAATGTTGGACAGTTTAATAATTTGAAATTCTACTGCACATCTTTCCCATTACAATGTTTAATGGGATGTTTATATATGTTTCAGTAGCTGGGGGAGGCTGTGTCGGTGGCCAAGTTCTCGACTGCTTCCCTGGGCAAGTTTCAGGGGAATCTTGCTAAGGAGAAGCAAGCAAAGAACATTAAAGCTCTGCTTCCCAGTAGCAAGAAGAGAAAACCAGCACCCCTGACTCCTGTGGAGGAGAAGAAATCAAACTTTGACATTCTTGACAGTATCCTGAGCAAGAAGCCCAAGTTGGATATTGAGAAGGCAGTGAACCGGGTGCTGAACACTGAACAGCGGGAGTAAGTAATACAACTTGTTATAAATGTTGAGGTTATGGACTTCTATTTCTAACTCTGTATAGTCTTGTGGGCAGAGACCACTGTTTCAGAGAAACATGCTGCTTCCATTTTCAGGGTGTTGAATGAAGGGGAAGGTGACTTTAAACTTTCTGCAGATGCTGGAACTTGTATATTTTGCTCTTGTAATTTGAAAAGGTATGTAGGATCTTCTTGTATGTGATTCAGCTAATCAGGAACAAGTTGAAGTGGACATGGTCCACAGCCAATTGCATGTGGGTCCCCAAAAGTTCCCAAGTAAGGGGTAAACTTTTCTGACATTCCACTTCCCCTGTTGTGACAAAACAAAACAATATTATGGCCCTGAAAAAGTCCATTCTCCTGGCTCCTGTTTCTGTGGCCCAACTGGGCTCTGTTTCCTCAACCTTCATGTGTGCCTGAGTGGCCACCTTCCTTGAGGTCTGGCTGATTCCCTGCACTACCCATTTCAACCCTGAAGATGGAGGCAGCATGTTTCTTTGAAATGTTAGTACTGACCTACAAGATCACACGGTGTCACAATGAAAAGAGACCAAAAACTGAACACATTTTATTGTTCCTAAGTTTCTTAATATGAAATCAAGATATAGTGACTTAGCAAGGGTAAGGGATTTTTCTGTCTCCGTGGTGTCCAGACTAGCTCTGAATCTGCCCAGCTTCCTGTCCTATGGGTATTGAGTGCCTTTTGCTGGAGCTAGAGCTGAGGTTAAGAATGGATGGAGTGATATCTCCATTCCTGCAGACATCTGCATCTTATATAGCTTAGAGGATTATAGGAACAACTTCACTTTTACTTTATGTTTTCTAAGCTATTGGCTTGTGACTAGAGGTTTGGGGCTGTTTTTTGGAGAGTTCCTGTACAAAATGTACTGATCTGCTGGCTCTAAGCGTTCTGTCAGTGCATGCTACTGCGAGTTGCAGAGAGATTAGACGAGATGATAAGAGATATACGAGGAGACGAGACAAGATGAAGTTATACGAGACAGTATATGAGACAAAACTATACGAGATGAGAGGAGACAAGAAGAGACTCATCTCATATTGGCTTGTCACTTATCTCGTCTCATTTCATCTCGCCTTGTCTTGTCTCTTCTTATTGTGTATCTCGTATTGTCTTGTATTATCTCTTCTGATCTAGCTTCATCTCATCTCATCACCTCTTATCTAATCTCATCCCATCTCGTCTTACATCTCACATCTCATCTCATCTCAGTGGTCTGTGGAGAATCTTGACCCTATGTTTTACCTCCATCTCTCCATTTACATCTCCCATAAATTATTATTTGAATCTTCCAGCCATCTCAGTCTGATCCTTTGCACTTTTATTCTACCTTATGCTTTATTTGCAAAAGTTTACTCAGCCATCCTTGTCTGATCCCTTATAATCACATTCCCCAACAATCCCAACCTTCTCCTATCTTTATCCACTATTCCCTCAGTTCTTGCTCCTTGCTCAGTTACTGGTTCATACAGCTTCCTCAGAAGTTACCTCTCCCAAGCATTTAACATAACTTTATGCTTTACAAACGTGGACTGTGTTCCACACTTATACATCACACTTGCTTTGAACATTTTGTATTTCTAGTTTTTTCTTCTGTTTAGTTGAATGGCTTGCTGTAGTAAATTAATTTACATAAGGTGCATTCACGTGGAGGCCAACATAAAAAAAAATTAGGCATATGCAAGAATGACTCACTTCAAAATGAGACTGGAATGAGAATTTGGGTAAATTCTAGAAACGAGACAAGATGGAGAACATTCACTGTTAGACCAATTTTCCTGCTGTAATCTCAGTTTATAGCACAATGCCCTTATGTGTATCACTTACCCTTTCAAGAGAAGTCATTGTGTTGAAAACGAAGCCAGCTCCAGGACTGTGTCCGTCCTCATCATGGGCAGAATTAGGGAGGTGGGAGAACTTGTGTTGACAAGTTGAGTCATGCTAGTGTTGCCCATCATTACAATTCTGATGGGCAGTTTGTGTGCTCTTATATAAAGCAAAAGTAGTGAGCTGGAAATCCTTGAAGTTCAACATTGAAAAATCCATGTTTTCAATTCAGTCTCAGAGTTTGAGACTGGAAAATGCCTAAGAAGGATTTAACAAAACTGAAACTGGACAGTAATGTAAGGCGGCTTTTGTTTGTTGTTTTCAGGCGTGCTGCTGAAAAAAAGAATCAGAAGAGGGGCAGAAAGAAAATGAAAGGTGGAAAGAAAGGAAAAGACACTGGGAAGAGGACAGGTGTTAAACCAAAGGGTGGAAAGGGCAGCCGGAAACCTCGTGGAAAGATGGGTCGCAAGAGACGTTAATGTTTGCCCGCTGGTATGGTAATTTTGTAATGCCATTACTATCTGAAATTATGTAAGCATGTAGAGAAGTTTAAAAGAGATTAAAGTCCTCTTGTTTGAGATTGAGTAACTTAATCAACTGACACCACTCACATGACTTTTTGGCAGCAGCCCTTATTGCCGTTGGCCAGCACCTACCTCTTATCAAGCTGAAACCAACATCCTGGCTGTGTACAGCCCTTCTTGGTGAGCAGTCTTGAACCACAGTTTTGTGCAAGTTAGAACTCTGAGAACATTTGGGTCTTAATACAAAATGGCAATCCTGTATGTTTCTAGGAGGAACAAGAATAAGACTGCCCCCCCCCTGCACTCATCCCAAGCAACAATATATTCTTTAAGAAATAAAAATATAAAAGTATTGCTCATGTAGGAAATGAGTGGAAATGTTTACAGTAAATCGCACTTGAAATGAATCAACAGTAGGAATATGATATTAAGTAATGCCAACAAATTAATTCCAAAGTGTCCTACATGCCACCTGCAGACCCAAAATAAAAACTCCCAATCCTTGGGAACTGGAACTCACCGTGGCAGGTAGAACATGAGCTGGGCTGCTTGCTGGAGGCTGGCAGCAGGCCAAAATGTCTTTTAGATCCATAAACTAAATGAAAGTTACAGTCAACCTCCTGGTATGAAGCCTCAGCAAGCAGTGGCTTGACGCTCAAGATCATTGCCCCAGGTAAGGGATGATGGAAATGGATGAGCGTAGGGAAAAGAGGGGTCACATGGGCTGAAAGTTGGTGAACAAGGTTGGTACAAATGCTCCTGTACATTACCATGGTGGCACAACGTTTCTCATGAGTCCCTGTGGTTATTGATTTTACCCAGCATCTGTGAGCAGACCTTTGCACGACCTTACAAATATTACAATGTAGCATCATATTCTGCTGTATTTCAGTTGTACTGGTTTCTGTCAACAATTTTTTGTATGGGCATTCAACTCTTTAAGTGTTTGCTACATGTTCTAGCCTTTTGGCTGCCATAAGATACTGTACATTCACTGCTGGCTTCACTGCTTCTTTGCTACACTGGCTGGCATTTACTTTTGATATGGGTTGTTTTTAAATTGAGGTGTAATGCCCCTATACATGTCTTTCATTAAAATATTAAATAGTAAAATGCTCTGTATGATGTTGCTTGACTATTAAAAGTATTTTTATTATAAAATGCATGAAATTTATTTTGGTTAATTCTGTCGTGTAAAATTAAAATGGTATAAATCACCAGGTAGTGATCAAATTCCAGTAGAACTTATTCAAGCAGGAAGCGAAATATTACGTTCTAAGATCCACAATCTAATTACAGTAAAACTTGGTTATAGCAACATCGGTTTCTGCGACACCTTGGCTATTGCGTCAAATATTCAATGGTACGAACTAATTCCTCATAAAGCAACTGTTTTTTTACCTTGCTTAGTACGACATGCACAAATGCATCAACCTCGTATGTAACATCATTTTCATTCCTGAATTTCTCTGATATGGACATTGAACGTAATTTAGAAAGTGTGTATTGGGAAAGTAACAGGAAACAGATGAAGATAACTGATTACTGTACTCGTATCTAGGTACAGTAAGGCACAACAATTGATGTAATCTACTGTAATTTGGTGAGTAGGCCTACCTTTAATATACAGTATTAGTGCGCTGTGTATTGTCAGTGAAAAGCGCTGTAATATGTCTTTGATATTACACATTTGGGCAATTCCACGTTAATGTTACGTTAGTCTGTACTTAACTACGTATTTCACTAAAAAATGCGACATTTTAACTCAGTTTTTGGTAGATTTTTATGTGACTAACATAAGGCTACTGTGGAAATGCCCATTTCGGTTACAACGACATTCGTTTATAACGACACTATTTTTAGGTCCCTTTGATGACGTTATAACCAAGTTCTACTGTACTTCTATTTGGCATAAAGAAAAATTGCCTATCAGTGGAAGGAGCTGTTGTAATTATAGGGGGATATCACCACCTAGTATCAAGGAGACCAGGTGAAGCTGTTGGTGTCACTCTCCCAAAACAGGTTGTCTCAGTTACAGGACATAGAGGCCTAATGTTAGCATTCCAGTGAAGATAACAGTAAGCTAGCAGTAATAGTGCTTTGCCAAGAAAAGAGAGAGAGAGAATTTAAACAAATAACATGTGGATACAAGAGCTGTTCAGAGGTAACTTTTGGTGAACTGTTAACAAAATAAAAAATGAGAAAAAAAGATGTTGTTATAAACGAAAACTACTTCTCAATGTTTTCACTGCCAGAATTGAGGTACTTTTATTAGAGAATAAGTTTTTATATATCTGTGTCAAGTCTGCCACCTGTGAGCTCAGCCATGTTTCGAGAGCTCGAAGCAAGGTCAGGGCTGTAAGGAGGATGGTCAAACAACTCCCAGTTGAAATGCTCCAGCAGTGCTGAAGTGTGAGCAGCTGTATATGAACACACATTATCATGGACAAGTACTGTTCATGCACTGGATGTGAGCATTCCATGGCTTTTGTTCTGAATGGCTTTGTGCAAGTTTTTTAGTGTTTCACAATACACTTCTGACATTTAGTTAGTTAGTTATTGGAGAGGGTGGGTTTCCCCATGCGCTTAGACCAGTATTGGTCCATTGTGCTTCCCTCTATGATATTCTACCAGTCTCTACACCCTACCGATAATGGTGCATATCATCAGTCCCGCCGAGCAAGCGAGTTCGGCCTCCACTTGCTTAGCGGTGTCTATAATGCTTCCCCCAACTATCAGAGGCCTTAGAGACTATTGTTGGGCGGGAAACGTCCTGGAATTTTGGCTCAGTGATCTCCTTTGGAGATATGAGGTTCTTTTACGTGCCGTAAAGTTACGACATGGGACACACAGCTTAAAAGTCCTTCCCGGAAGGCTTGTTCCCTGAATTTTTTTGCCCTTAAAAATTCGACAACCTCCGCCAGGTATTTGAACCCGCGTACCACGAGTCATGAGGTGGGAACGTTACCTCTAGACTACGGAGGCCGCTCACTTCTGACATTACTATGTTCCCTTGTTCATGAATTCCACCATCAGCACTCCTTTCCTTTCCCAGAAAACAGTTGCTATCAGCTTTCTGGCAGACAATGTTTGTTTAAACTTTATCACCCTGTTTGATGAATGTGTGTGCATTCACTGTTTTGACTGCCCTTTGGTTTTAACATTCGCAAATGAAACCCATGTTTCATCTCCTGTTACTGTGTGGTTGAGAAATATATTGCCATTTTTGCAGTATTGCTGTAAAAAGTCTGCAATAACCAAAGCCATTTCATGTATTTTGTGTGCACCCATGAGCATTTTGGAACTTATCTTGCACAAAACTTTGGATAGCATAATCTGTGATAATCTTGTAGAGAAGAGTGCATGAAATTTGTGGAAATTCACACAAAAGTTCTGAAATTGTGAAATGCCATCTTTCACTAATTTTTTGGTTAACACTTTGAACAAGATCATCACTCACTACAGATGACTGACCACTTCACTCCTCATTGTGACCATTCCTTCATCCATCTTTGAACATTCTGCACCATTGTCTTACAGTTCTTTCACTCATTATATTATGGCTATCAACAGTGCATAATTCAGGATGGATTTTTGCAGCACTCATGTTTTTAGTGTGAAAAAGTGGGTAACTGCACGAATTTCACAGCTGGCAGATTATCAATTGCAGGACACATCATAACTCACTCTGAAGAGATAAGAACAAACACTAGATGACCAATTATGTGATGGTTTACAAGGCACTGAGTTATGTGGCACAACCTCACATGCACAAGTTCTACCTCGGTCCTACATTAGTTGCCTAAAATAAATGGAGGATACTTTTTGAATAGCAAGAGTACATCTACAAAGAGTACATGACAGAAAATGTGACAGCATGTAAGATATATTGCCCTCTTTCAAAATGGCCAGCTACTAAAGGCAACACCAACCTTGATGGCTGGTGTGGAAAGTTCAAAAGCAAAACAAACTCAAATTATGTTAGCTATTTAAGCCAGAAAATGTAAGACTGGCCTCTGCTGTAAATAGCCTTCATTTGCTATCATGTGCCCTCAGCAGAGTTAAATACAACAGAACCTTGTTTTACAACAGGGTTAGGTTCCTGGAGATGCCAGCTTGTATTGAACCAGGATAAATGAAAGATGAATTATGATCTACAGTAGAACTTGGTTATAACGTCATCAAAGGGACCTAAAAATACTGTCGTTATAAACGAATGTCGTTGTAACCGAAATGGGCACTTCCACAGTAGCCTTATGTTAGTCACGTAAAAATCTACCAAAAACCAAGTTAAAATGTTGCATTTTTTAGTGAAATACGTAGTTAAGTACCGACTAACGTAACATTAACGTGGAATTGCCCAAATGTGTAATATCAAAGACATATTACAGCGCTTTTCACTGACAATACACACCGCACTAATATTAAAGGTAGGCCTACTCACCAAATTACAGTAGATTACATCAATTGTTGTGCCTTACTGTACCTAGATACGAGTACAGTAATCAGTTATTTTCATCTGTTTCCTGTTACTTGCCCAATACACACTTTCTAAATTACGTTCAATGTCCATATCAGAGAAATTCAGGAATGAAAATGACGTTACATACGAGGTTGATGCATTTGTGCATGTCGTACTAAGCAAGGTATAAAAACAGTTGCTTTATGAGGAATTAGTTCGTACCATTGAATATTTGACGCAATAGACAAGGTGTCGCAGAAACCGATGTTGCTATAACCAAGTTTTACTGTATTTCAATGAGGTGTGTTCCAGGTATACAAAAATTGAGACTCTCTTTCATAAAATAATAAAAACATTTATATATTCTAAACATACACATTATATTCATAGATTCATAAATGTGATATAAATCTATGAATATAATGTATATATTCTAATCATATACATTATATTCATAGATCTATATCACATTTATTCTGTAATAAAATATAATGTGAGTGTTACTGACAAGAGGAATGCCTTGACTATGGGTTGTCAGGGTAAAATGAATCATCTCCTGCCAACTTTGGATCAATTGTAGGCTCTTCAGATTTC